TATTCCCTGGCTCACTGCGACCACCATGGGTCTTGCCGGTCTCGCTCTGGAGAACAACCCCCGCTTCCCTACTTACCCTGATCGCATGCTCGACGCCGATGTCAGTGCCGGCCTCGTCCTTCCATATGCTGCTGTCGCGCTCCTGGGCAAGGGTGGTGCTATTTGCACTTTGCTCATCGTGTTCATGGCCGTCACCTCTGCAACGTCGAGTCAGTTGATCGCCGTCAGCACCATCTGCACTTACGATCTTTACCGCGCCTACTTCAACCCCAGCGCCAGCGGCAAGAAGCTCATCTGGCTCTCCCACTGCTTCGTCGTCGGTTATGCTCTCTTCATCGCCACCTTCTCCGTGGGCCTGTGGTACGCAGGTATCTCCATGGGCTACCTATACGTCATGATGGGAGTCATCATCTCGTCGGCAGTGTTGCCTGCAACTTTGGCTCTCATCTGGGCCGGCCAGAACAAGTGGGCTGCTGCCCTCTCCCCCGTTCTCGGCCTCGTCTGCTCGCTTATTGCCTGGCTTGTTACCGCCAAGAAGAAGTGCGGCAAGCTTGATGTGGCGTGCACCGGCTCCAACATGCCCATGTTGGCGGGTAACGTCACTGCCCTGCTCTCGCCCATCGTGTTTGTGGCTGTCTTCACATTGATCTTTGGTGTTGACAAGTACGATTGGAAGTCCATGATGGCGATTCGCAAGGCCGATGACCACGACGTTGTTGCCGATGAGGGTCTGGATCTCGAGGAAGTTCATGGTGGACACGAGGAGTCCGCTGCTGAGTTTGAGCAAGAGCAGGCCAAGTTGCTCAAGGCTAGCAAGATTAGCAAGACCACGACCGTGGTCATGGTACGTTGTGAATGCCTTCCAACACCCATTCGAATTCTTGACTGACATCATCCCAGACCCTGGCTCTGCTCGTGTTGTGGCCCATGCCTCTCTACGGCACCGGCTATATCTTTAGCAAGAAATTCTTCGCCGGCTGGGTCACTGTTGGCATTATCTGGATCTTCTGCTCCTTCATTGGTGTTGGTCTCTTCCCCATCTTTGAGAGCCGCGGAACTCTGGCCAGAACAGCCAAGAACATCTTCCGCGACTTGTCCGGCAGAGGATCTCCCAAGAGCATCCAGGCTCAGAATGCGATTATCACCGGCCAGGCTTCTCCTGGGGATCAGACCCCGCCTGAGAAGGCTCCCATCAAGGAGGACGTCAAGTCTTCTTGATTTGTATTGCATGATGGATGATAGATGATGGAGGAAATGGCTAATATATATACCTTATGATACCCATTGAGCAGGAGGCGGGTATTGCTGTCTTTCCTTTTAAAGTGGTCTCAGATATTTAGAAGAGTATCTGGGTCAGAGTTTAGCTTTTTGATGCAATAATTACGAGATACCATTGTGCGATTCAAGATTTGGGGTTTCAAAGGCCAGCAGTGCCTGCAACCCGTCATGATCCGCCAGGGCCCGTGCCTAACCAACCCCTCACCTCACATGCTTGAGCTGGGGTCGTTTTCCAAGACGGAAGGACAGACTTTTAGTCAGTGAACTGAAGTGATCTTCATGACAAACAAAAGCTCCGCTCAAACACGATGTAACCTCGCCACGCTTTTTCTTTTTCTTCCCGGACATCGGAAATCGCTTCCATGACCCGGGATTTTTCAATTTTGAAAAGAGGCAAAATTGGAGAAGAGTGCTACGCTGGTCCACCTCGTTGCTTTTTTGTGATCATCTCTCTCTGTTTTGAAATCACCACACGGGCAGGAGTGCATGCTCGAGGCATCGAGGAATTCTCTGGGCGCAGCCTTGGTATGTGGGAAGCATAGCATATTAAAAATTTCGTAAGTAGGTAGGTATCATGATATATGTTCATGTACACCACATATGTACTGTACATGCGCTGGTAAAATGTCTTTCGCAGGCGTCTAAGCCTTTAAGACTTTTTTTTCCCCCCCTAGGCGCATCTTTCGTATGTATGTAGGAACTACAAAATATTAAACTGGTAAGTAGAAATGCATGTAGCTGGTAAAAAATAAAAAAAATCTCGGGAGTTCCAACCCCATTCATTTCATCCACGTGGGATTTACTATCAGATCAGATCAGCCATTATTATCCCGAGAAGTGATAATGGATGATATGCAAGGGGGTAGGCATAACTCTGGTGCGGTTACGGAGATTTTTTGACTGGTTGAGCCAGGGAAAGGGAGCCACGGTGGTCCTGTCCGTGCTTTGTTGGGTAACGAACTCATCAGGTGCCCAGTCGCCCAGTGTGATTGATGGCTACATTTTCCTTCATAGGCTATGACGGATTGTTTGTGCTCATCACGCTGGGTTTACTACGCTCTGATGGAACCATACAGAACCATAATGGCAATATTCTAGAAGGATTATTTCTCTTCATGGTGCATCCAAGCGAACTTTTTTCACTTTTCCGCTGGTACCCTATCATTTTACAGAAAAGGCTTGCCCCAGCCGAACTCGCGTGGTGTGTGTGTGGCCCTCCTTTCGGGTGATGTTGCTTAAGCGCGTCTTGGTATGTGATTTTAATATGCCCAATTAACTCTTATCGGTCGCTTGTCTTCTCCGCATCTGACTCCAAGAAAACGTGCAACCACGAGCGAATGCCGAGAAAGAAAAAAAACTAAAAGAAAAAAAAAACTCATATGATGATATGTTCCGGAGGGTCCCTTCAGGTGGTCCCTCGTGGTTACCGCCAAGGCGGATTTCCAGATCATATTTAAATAGGAAAAGAGAGACGGGATATCTCCCGCCGTTCCTGCAGCTGGGCGCGTTGCCAAACTCGGTAAAATCGGCAGCCTGTTATTTAGCCTCATTCAGGAATTCTCTTGAATCAATAACATAACAATGCTCCGGATAGTACCTGCTGTTACCCCTTCTGGGTGTTAGATTACAATCCAAGCATCAGGGCTGCGGGTCCCTGATCTAACAGCCGGGAGCCGGGAATCGAGGCTTGGAAGTTGGGGTGAAGGAAGGAAGAAAGAAAGTAATAATAATGAGATGATGATGTGTAAGGAAAGGATGAATATGAATGAATGTGGGGTTTTGAGGAGAAAGCTCGGAAGAGGAAACATATTTCTCACGACGTTTCCCGTCCTCATATGAAGCTCGAGCCCTCCCTTCTCCTGGCCCGTTCTCCTTCCTTCCGTGTCACATCCCCTTCGAGTGCCAGCAGAGAACGACTGGACCGACCGACTGATCACCAGAACGGAAAACCATGAGGACCACACTCATCGGCCTGGCCACGGCGGCCCTGTGCTGGACCGGCGCCCTCGCCGACGGCAGAAATGGGGTGAACCGACGGAGCCTCTCCAAGTCCCTCCACCGCCGCAACATGCAACTCGGAATCCACGCTCGCCAGTCCGGCGGAAGATGCGGAAGCGGCGTTGGTCGGTGTCCCGAGGGCCAATGCTGCTCCGACTACGGCTTCTGCGGCCTGACGGTCGACCACTGCCATCCTCTGTTTGACTGCCAGGCTCAGTACGGAGTCTGCGGATGGCCTCCCCCGGCACCTCCTGCCACCACCACTTCGACCACCTCCACGCCAACTCCCACCCCAACCAGCACTTCCACCTCCACCACTCCCACCCCAACTTCTACCAGCACCACCAGCACCACCAGCACCACCAGCACCACCAGCACCACCAGCACTTCAACCACAAGCAGCACAATCGTGGTCATCCCCCCAAGCAGCACCACAAGCACCAGCGCCCCCCCCATCCCCACCGGCCCCCTCGTCATCACCACAAACGGCCAGTGCGGCAACGGCACGATGTGCATCGGGAACCCCAACTACGGCCCCTGCTGCTCCCAGTTCTTCTGGTGCGGTTCCTCGCTCGACTTCTGCGGCGCCGGCTGCAGAAGCGAATTCGGCGCCTGCGTCGGAATCCCCGGCCTCCCCGGAACCAACCCCGGAAACGGAACCATTACCACCCCGCCCGTGCAGACTCCTTCTTCCACTTCGACCACAAGCATCCGCACGACTACTTCGACAACCAGCACCACCACCACTACTACTACTAGTACTACTTCCACCACGACCTCTACCACTTCTACGACGTCTACGACGTCTACGACATCCACGACGAGCGCAGCGCCCACGCCTACTTTGGTCCTCCCCCCCGGACAGAGAACCTCCACCGACGGCCGCTGCGGCAACAACGTCAACTGTCTGGGCTCAAACTTTGGCCGGTGCTGCTCCCAGTTCGGGTACTGCGGCGACGGAGACCAGTACTGTCCTTACATTGTCGGGTGCCAGTCCGAGTTTGGGTACTGCGAGCCCGGTCCTTGAATCAATCAATCAATCACTGCTACTTGCCAGAAAAGTAGAAGGAATATACACACCCAAGTAGATAAGATTGAATTTTTCAAGTTAGTTTGTGCGAGAAATACATGTCTTGATTTTTGTTTTGGGGGTTGTTTCTTGTCGGTGGTAATGGATGGATGCGTTTCTAGTTGGTAGTTGAGATAATTACACAAATAAAATCTGTTTGTTTTGGTTGGAAGTCTGCTTCTTTTTCTTCACACCCACCAATTCTTGTCGTCTGATGATTTTGAATGATGTCACTTGCCGTGTCCTGTGCGTGTGCCGAAATGAAGGGAGGGGGGGTGGCGAGATAGAGAGGACGGATATGATGGTGGGGTTACATCGGGATTGTGCGAAGTAATTGAAAAAAAAAAAAAAAAAAAAAAAAAAGATTCCTCGGCAAAAAAATAAAATGGCTTTGATTTCGTCCAGGCTCGAACTGGAGACCTTCAGTGTGTTAGACTGACGTGATAACCAACTACACCACGAAACCGTTTCAACTTGTTAAACATGCAAGGTAGATTTCTCCTCTTGACGGACGAGGGAATGACGGAAGCTGAGCTGTAAAAAAGAAAGATTGTTACAGGGATCTGACCCAGAACGCCCCCCACATGTCCCGAAAACCTTTTCTTCCCACAAAAGAATGTGGGAAAGATGTTGACCCTTCACTCGGGAACCAAAACGATCCGCCCAGGGGTCGAACCTGGAACCTCCTGATTTCTTGAAGTGTATTCGTAGTCAGACGCGCTGCCATTACGCCAGCGGACCCTTTATCACATGAATTGATGGAAGCTAGTTGGCGTAAAAAACACTCAAGTTTGTAATGGGGTGGCAACCTTTATGATTCTAATCATGCACGTACGGATGGTTGTGTCAACTAATGCAACGGTGCCGTATCGTGATTTTTACGAACCTGCATTCGCCTGATTTGATTGGCGGGAGTTGGGGGTTAATACCGGTCTCGTAATGCATTAGCATCAACTGACAAGCACTCGGTTGCCCCAAAGCAGACAGGACTATACAAGCCACAATACAGAACATGCCAGGATTCTGCCTTGTTACTTGGTCATAGAAATGTAGGGCCTCGATGGTTTGATGCAGGGTGAACCAGCCCGCACCATCCTGATCCCTGGATGTTGCAGCTGTCCAGTGCCGAGTGCCACGCCCAGCTTCAGAAAGGGTGGGTTTCTTGAGCATTTAATCGCGATTGATGGCAGCAGGCTCTTGCTTTTTCTCCCTCAGTTCTCGTTCTCTCCAGTGAACTCGGCCATTTCTCAACAGTGGCCGGATCAAGCCTGAGAATGAACGTCACCACCGCCCTCCCCTTTCTCAGGGGCGACTTTGCCCTGCCCTCTAGTGCTAGCAGCAAGCTCTTACTCCTGTCTGGGACCCTTACGTCCTCGACAATCTTCTTTACTGTCCTCGTCGCATTCTTCATCCATCGCTTGACCATCATCATCTACCGTCTGTACTTTCACCCCCTTTCGTCCTTCCCCGGCCCAAGGCTCGCGGCGGCGACCTCGCTCTATGAGCTATATCATGGCGCCATTTCCCCAAGCTCAGTTTCCTGGCCCGAATATGAACGTTCAGTCCTCCACCCCAAGTATGGCCCTATCGTCCGCATTCGGCCGGATGCTCTGCACATCTCGGACCCCGAAGCGTACCGCAAGATTCACAAAGTAGGAGCAAAGTACACAAAGGCCAAGTACTTCTACAAGCCATTCTTGTCCGAGTCAACGCTCTTTGGAAGTGTCGACCTGGATTTCCACCGAAAACGAAGAAACTTGATTGCGCCCATCTTTGCCAAGAACGAAATCGTCGCACGCTACGAGGATGTTGTCAAGGAGAAAGTCGACCTGATGCTGACTCGGATTTCGGACATTCTGAGTGAAAAGGGTGGTAAAGGACTGGTCCTCATGAAGAATGCCGTCTCGGCGTTTGTCTTTGATGTCTCTGCTGAAGTCATCTTCAAAGGCGGTTACAAGTACGTCACTTCTTCCTCAGGTTTCACAGCCATCTATCTGCCTGCCCCCGTGTGGAGCCACACCGTGACTGACCACACACAGTGTTTTGAAATCCAAAGACATGACACACCCTGTCACAACCTCGGTGGACCTCGTCGCCGAGTCTGCAATTCTCAACAGATACTTTCCATCCGTCGTGCCTTACTTGTTCGCAGTCCCTGACTGGCTCATGGGGTTAGTATACCCCAGCGCTCTGGGCCAAAAGGTTGTCAGGGCTTCAGTCAAGCACGAAGTCGACAAGCTCGCCCAAGAGAAGCGCACCGGAACCTTTGATTACACCAAGCAGAATGCCGTCACCGCCCAGCTTCTTTCTCACTTTGACCCGCAGACTGTCGCGGATGAAGGCTACGTCATGCTGGGCGCCGCCATCCACACCACCCAGTGGTCAATCCAGCGGCACCTTTACCATCTGGCGGCAAACCCCTCGGTCCAAGAAAAGGTTTTTGCCGAGCTCAGAGCCGCCTATCCCGACAGAGACTCTGGCATGTCATACACAAAGCTCGAGACCCTGCCCTACTTTGTCGCGTTCATGAAGGAAGCTAACCGTCTGGCCCACGCCATCCCGGGTTCCAACTCTCGCGAAGCCCCCCTCGATGAGCCGACGGAGCTCTGTGGGAAACACATTCCACCCGGGACCGTTCTGGAGACCGACATCTATCACATCCATTTGCACGAGTCCGTCTTTCCCGACCCGCTAACGTTCGATCCTGAAAGGTGGCTGCAAGGTGAAAAGTCCAAAAACCTCGAGAAGTACTTGGTCCCGTTCAACATGGGGAACATGATGTGTGTGGGATACACCTTGGCCAACTTGAACATGCATCTGGCCACGGCGGGGCTTGCGAGGAGGTTCGAGATTGAGTTGACGCCCGAGCTGGAGAAGGAAGGGTTTCGGTTCGAGGTTCCATGGGTCGCGGTGAAAAGGGGCGCCAAGATTGAATTTATCTGCCGAGAGAGAACTGAGTGACTTTTTTCAAGAGAGAGAAGTAGCACGATAATGTCAGATTGTTTTTTGTTTTGTTTTTGTCGTCACGGGATGTAATCAGGAGATGCGTGCATTCGAAAGGTGTAACCCCTGATTGCTGATTCGCCAATTCCTGCGCTCAGCCACTAATCAAATACCAACTCTCCCGATCCCACCCGCTGCACACCAGTTGACACCGGACCCGACGGCTGAAATCCATTCAAGCATAAAACGACCACTCCCTGCCTTGGTTCCGGAGAGAAAAAAAAGAGGAGAAAATATTTTCATCAAACCAAATCTTTCAAACAACTTCGACTTTGATTTCATCATGAACCAACAGCAACTCATCCAACCACCACCACCACAACCACCACAACAGAGGTCACGGAGACACTCAACCTCTGGCCTCTTCCCAGACCCCACCAAAAAGGTCAACCTCGGCGAAGACATCGACCTCGTCATCGGCGTGACGGCCACAGCTCTGGCGGCGGATCAACTCATCAAGCTCAAAGAAAGCAAGAAGCACAAGAGCATGCACCTCGCCAAGGCCGGCCTCAGCACCGCCGCAGCCGCGACGGCATTCACCATGATGAGGCGCGAACACAGGGAACGCATCGAGCGCGACAAGAGGAGACACGAACGCGCTCGACGTCTCAGCCAGACCGAGCACGAGATGTCTTCTTCCTGCTCCTCCCGCTCCCGGTCAAGGTCAAGAACGCGGGATAACAGTCCCAACAACAATCGGCGGCTGCCAAGACGACTGGAACCTGACAGCGCAGCCCGCGGCGAGAAACAACACGAAGTGCACTGGGATTTAATCCCATCACCGCCTAGCCCTACCCCTACACCCGAGGAGAACCTGCACGAAGGCGCACAAAGCCCGGATGATGACGATGATCATCATCGTGATCATCGTTATGCACCAAGGGCGTCGTACGACTTTGGGGGCGACCGCCGATTTCAGGTCGAGCATGATCCGGAGCCGCAGACACAGACACGCAGTCAAAGCCACGGTCAGACGAGAAGGAGACATCATCATCATCAAGCGGAGGACAAGAAACATGAAAGGAGGAGAGAAGAAGAGGGTCAGTCGAAGATGGGAATGTTTTTCGAGGTTTTACAGAGGGAGCTGGGGAAGAGGAAGGGAGGGGATTAGTCAAGGCCGTGTTGCTTCGGAGAAGAGTTAGGGACGGGGTCAAGGCTAGGTAGGGTTCGGATAGACAAAATGCTCAACAGAGGAATAATAGCATACATATCTTGTGGGAATTCCTGGTAGTTAATATATATATATATATATAGGTACATGCGCGACTTTTTCTTCATATGCGCGGACAGGACTCGGTGGGGAGAGACAGAGAGAGACAGAAAGTGTGTTTTTTTTTTTTTTTTTTTTTTTGATTTGTTTTTGTTGAGGACAAGTTGAGCATGCATACGAATAGAGGAAGAGCGTGTTTATTCGTCATCCAATGTCGTACATGATGATGATAAAAAAACCAGCCCGGCAGGGAAATATGTGTGTTCGGCCCGGGACTGAAAATGCTGAATGGGGTTTACGGCAGTTCGGCGGCAAAACAACCTTCCTTTCTCGGGAAGAAGTCGGTTTGTTTTTGCGGCCGCGTAGTCAGGAAGGGGAAGGGGTCCACAAGGGACTGCGTGGACTAGGTCGTCAGCTTTTTTGCCATGACTCATCATTTATCAATCGTATGATGATGGGATTTAAAGCCGGGACATATTCCCTTTCCCCAGTTGTTGTTGTTGTTGTTGAACATCCAAACCCAAGACATATCTTTTTTTGTCAATATCTCAAAGCAAAAGAAGGCAAAACAAAACAACATAATACCTTCCTCCATAATTTTTTGAAAAAAAAAAAAAAAAAAAAAAAAAAAAAAAAAAAAAAAAAGTAAAAATGCCCCTCCACCTCCGCCCCGCAACCCTCGCCGACTCCCCCCATATCGGCCGGATCGGCGCCGCCTCGTTCTCCGATACAGTCTCTCTCGCTCTCTTCCCCGCGAATCTTTCTCACCTATCTCTAACCGGTGACAACTTCACCGACGAGGCGGAATGGAGGGCGGCGCGAAACGTCCGCCGGATGAAGGAGGGAAAAGTCACCTTTGTCGTTGTTGATAGAGACGAAGGAGGGGAAGAAAAAGCGGTGGTGGGGTTTGCGCAGTGGGAGCCGCCAAAGAGCACTAATACCAGCCAAGGTGGAGAAGATGAGGATAAACAAGCGGCGGGGGCGGCGTCGTTAAAAACCGAACTCGAAGCAGATGTCTTGCCGCCGTCGCTTGACGTCGTCGCGCTCAAAAGGATGTGGGAGGCCGTTGAGGCCGAGACTGAGGCTGTTTTGGGCCCGGAGGGGTATAGTAAGATGTGGTGTGAGTGCAGTGCAAACTTTTGATTTTTCGACAACAAAAAAAAGAGACGATTGGAACTGGGAAAGGCTGACAAGAGTGAATTCAGACCTCATGATTCTGGGGGTTGATCCAAAGTATCACCGGAGAGGAATCGGCAAGATGCTGATCAAGAAAGGGCTGGAGCTGGTCGAGAGGGACGGCAAGGATGCATTCCTCGTTGCGACGCCCAACGGACAGAAGCTGTACGAGTCGGTCGGGTTCAAGGCCGTCGGGCAGGGCTGCGATCTGGGCGGGGTTCCTCATTATTCCATGTTGTGGAAGAGGGCAGAGGCCAGAGGCTAGCGATATGCGAGATACGCCGAGATGATGGGTCTCCAGAACGGGTTCATGCATGCAAGACTTTGAATCCGTAGCGTTTGCTTTTGCCAA